ACCTTAGTTAGATAACATGCGCAAATTTTGTATAATTATTTTTGGCACGTGTAAGAAGCCGATTTTTATATATCTGATATACACTTTTAAATATTTGTACACGGCCTAGTCTATGGAAAATATAAATAAATTAAACCATATTTTTCTGCTTAGCCTTAAAACTTGTTTAAGTAAGTTCTCTAACCAGTTTGTGGTATTTCACGATCTCAATTCTCAAGCACTTCTAGTTAACGGATACCATTTCTCCTTATACTTTGAAATATTTTAAATTTTTTTCCATAATAGAATTTTGTTTATAGCTAAATAACATTATATAAGTTGTATAATATTTGTAATTTATAATATATATAATAATATTTGCAATCATCTGAACGTCAAATATAATTTAAATTACAAATTATAAGCACTGGACTATTGCTTTATATGTTGACGTGTATTGGGCTTTGGGATCGGTCACCAAATTCTCTAAGGTGAATGAACTACATTGGTAATAGAGATCAGGTAAGAGATCAAGCAAAAAATAGTCATGTTGCTTCTCATGCGAAACAAGAAATCTATACAGCTCGGTCCTCCCCTATTGTCATTCATGACTTAACAACCCCAAGTAAGACTGATTTCATCATCTATTAATAACTGAGAGAGTGTCTGAAATATCAAATCTATGACCAAAAGATAAAATATGTTATATTTAAAGGAAATACCTACTAATGCATAGAAATTAATTTCTAGTTCACCTCTTCGCATCATATGATGAATAACTCTGCTTACCTCCAAGCCCTTTACTCGCTTAACCCAACCTTTATTTGTAATTAGAAAAAATGAGGGGTAAGTGCGATGGGTTGCAGCAACAACAAAATCACAGAAATGGTAACTTTTTTGGGCGAAAACCTAAAATGTTTGCACGCATATCCCAGCAATTACTTACGGGTGCTTGCACATTTTCAGGATGCAGGACTGCAATCGGCCTGCAAGTATGAATTCAGAAGTTTTGAAACCAAATATTGATACTTATAAAGGCATTGAGGTATGTATGTATGAATAAGTTTGACTTGCCCGCAGCAAAGCTAGTGAAGTACCAATAAACACCTAGGCCTAGTCAGACAGTCGATTTTGAGCATCTTCCAAGGATCTGCCATATTGTCATGATCAGCTTACACAAAAAAAATTGGAATGGGTCGAACCCAAGCAGCTGCACGACAAACAAAAAACTAGAAGTAATTCTTTATTGACAGTGAAGCATAGACGTGGAGATATCCTAGAATATGAAGAGACAATATTTACTGTACCATATCACTTATTATTTTATTTAATAAATACATTCTTATGTTGACTTTTATTATAAAAATGAACTATTTATAATATGTATATATAAATATATATATATATATATATAACATTTTATGCCATTGCGTTCATATTTTTGTTTTTTCAAGTGGATTTCAGCATACCCGAAAACTGAGAACGAACAGAGTATTACACAACTGCAGGAGGCTGCAAAATCCTTGCATCGAACGAGGCAGCCGAAACAAAAACAAAGCGCAACGTTAAAAAAGGGGGAAATTCAATGCCGTGAAAAGGGTAGAAAGGGCGGTAGAGAGGCCGAGATAAGCCAACAACAACTGCGGCACAACTGATTGCAAGGCCTGAATAAATGGAACGGGAATCAAAATGTGAGCGTGAATAAAATTGGGCTGACTGACTGCTTCCGATGGAAAGTTCATTATCCTCCTTGCCCAATCGACGGCGCGTCAGTTTTTTTATTTTTTATATTTTTCGTGGAACAAAGAGCCAGCCGCACAGCTCTTTTCGCTCTTGCACCAACATCATCATCATCATCATTATCATCATGATCATGATCCTGATCATCAGAGCCGATGTCTGAGAGCAGCGCTCAACTGCAACGTTCTTTTACTATTATTACACTCTGAATTTATTGAAAGAGTGGACAAATAATTAAGTATAGGCTTTACACACATTTTGCACAGCGATAAACCCGTAATAGGTAGTATGAGATAACAGCATGTATATCTAGATACAAAATATCTGAAGATTTTTAAAAGAATGAGTTAAATAAAACCAAATTAATAATATTGCAAACCATTTTCAATCAATATTATTATTCAATCAATATTATATATATATATTAATATATCAAGCACATAAAGAATACTTGGTTAAATTAAAAATTACATAATATCTTCTATTTGGTCGCAATCTTTCAACTCGTTTTAGGGTTGCAGTCAATTTGAAAAATTTTTAGAACTATAAATAAAAAAGCAAACCATGAGTCTTAGTGGATGATGATGATGCTGATAATGACATTGCAGTACTTGGTAAAATAGAAATACACATACTACTTCCGCTTTGCGCATCTGGAAATGAAATTTCATTTTTTGAGTTTCCGTTAGATATTAAATTAGAATGATGCAATCATATATTTTTTAGAAAATAATGAATAAACAACCAAAAGTCAATTCAACTTACGATGACCTGGTCTAGAAGTTAGTTGAGCTACAAACTTTGACTTTTTATTATATAATATTACACATAAAATATAGCAAATATATAAAAGATTTTGTATTTTTACTAAATTGACAAATACTCAACAGAATATTTTGAGCGAATGCTTTTTTTGAAATTCATTAAGTGAAACAGAAGTTGTCAAATAAAAGGTTTGGTCAAGTGGCGAAGACTCGTGACAGACGATGCTACAAGTTACCGAGGAGATGTAGATTCGGTGCCTGGCGACTACATGTTTGTTTTTTTTTGTCTGAGCCTGTTGAAAATGGGAATTCAGGGTACAATGTTTTTATGAAAATGTATGTAATAGGTAGAGGCGTGACAGACCCCATAAAGTATGAATAGTCTTTATTACGATACTACCTGAGTTGATCAACCCATGTCCGCACGACCATCCGTATAGGAAGTAATCTTTTGCATTGTGGATCTCTTAAACCACAACAGTAAAAGTAGCATATTTAATTTTTAAGTTAAATGAAGACATTTATAGAGCTTGAAAAAATATGGAATATTTTTCTACAAGCAGAGAAGTTATTTTATATCGAATAAATATCTAATCGAAGGGACTGCTTAGATAAAATAAACACAATGATTTACAAGTACAAGTCCAAAGGAATTCTGATTGCTCAATTTTTCTCAGACTATTTAATCAGTTCTCATCTGCATAAGATTACTTCTCCACCTATGAATTTCTAACTTAAAGTTAACTCTGAATTACATTGAGTGAACATTAATCCATATAACATATGGGTCCGTCTGTAGAAGAATTGACAATTATTTCTTAATATCAATCAGTTAAATATATCGTTTTCCTCGATTAAATAAAATATAGTTTTTTTTACATAAGGATGGGGGAATATTAACCAGAAAAACAACATTTTTTATTACATCATTTGCGCACGTCAGTTGATGATTTAAAACCGAAAGTTCCATTTTACTCAATTCGGCGACACCTCTCTATCCTACCCTGCCCTATCGATGACACTTCATGCCGATAAATATTGTGACTGGCGATCAGATAACTTTATGTGTGACAAGACAATGATAGGTGGCGTTGAATGGCGCCCCCTATAGTTTGAATGTCTCAAACTCTCAATATACCCTCGACCAATAGAGGACGCCACGCAATCTACCGAGCAAACGAAGAACGAACATATTTATAGGTTTATGTATACGCTACAGCAATTAGCTGGACGAAATAGAAATTGTGAAAAAATTATGATTTTGGTTTGTAAATATGCTGAAGCAATTAGCTTAACATTGGCAAAGAATTTGACGAAATTAAATAAGTTATTTGAGGATTCTAAAATATATACATTTTTTATAAGATGTTTACATACTACGTACCATAAATAAAATTTCGAAGTATGAGGCAATCGAATGTATGCGACTGCATAATACCCGTTTGCTGCACCAATTAATTGTCATGCCTTAGAACCGACATTTAATCAATGTTAGGTAAATATTTCGATTACTTTCCAACACTAACCTTAAAACTGAAAAAGAGTTAATAATATCGTCCCCTGTTGATTTCATCCAATTATCTTATTCTCATCTCATTATTATTTCGCTGGTATAATTTCGCACTAAGTAAAATGCTTTGCGTCAGTCACTGAATCCAAGTTGTTTACCCAAGTATATCTACATATGGCTTTTGACTACTTGACAATGTGGACTTGACTGTTCAAATATAGTATAAATATTTATTTAAAGAAAGTTGTTGTTGTAATTAAATGGATCCGACTCTCATTTGAAATCTTGAATTCATCGAAAATAGGAATTCGGGTTATAAGGATTTCGTTATAATGTTTGTAACAGGTAGAAAGAGGTGTGGCAGACCTCTAAAGAACATATATTCTCGATCAGGAAGACGAGCTGAGTCGATCGAACCCTATTTTGTTTGTCCATCCGCCCGTCTGTTTATTTTTGCATGCATCAGAAACCATTTTTTTATATTTTTTAATTTCTCAATCGGGATATTAACTTAAAATGTTAACACCTTGTCAACCCCAACCTATGTGACTGTCTGTATGAATGTCTGGTACTTTGTTACGTCACTATCGTTTGGTGTATTTGTGAATGAGTTTATATCATGCTACAAAATACGCTAGTGTTGTGCGTGTGGTAATCATCTACCAAATAAAATGACGGCACGAAAGACGAGGGAATAGTTGGAAGAAGGTCACGGCGAGTGTCGAAAGAGAAGGTCAGTGGCAGCAACCTAAAGATTTCACATACGTATACATATGAACATTTAAGTAAATTTGCCCACACACACTCACAAGCCCTCACCCACATTCACACTCCACTTATAATCTCTCTCCTCTCTCATTGGCTCTCTCTGTCCGTTTATTTTATAATCACGCGGCTGCCAATGCTCCAAAGCGCTTTTGGTACTCTCAACGACAAACACGCTTATCGTAGATTTGCTTTCGCCCTCGACAACTCGACACTCTATAAGACGCAGAACATAAAAGAAACTTTGCTGTGAGACTCATTCGCACTTTTGTCATCGAGCGTCGCAGAATATACGACCAACTGTTGGACCTAGACCAGAAAGTAGTCGGTGGAAGTCTTCGCAAGCTACAAATAGAAAGTGAAAATTATGAAATAATTTGTGTGAATATATTTTAAATACTTTTTGCAAAAAGAACGAGACATACTTATAGCCATGGCTAAGGAGACAAGTAAAATGGTAAGCAGAACGAACAATTGTAAAGGAAGTGAAAGAGAAACCCATATTTCCTTAGTGATAAAATAAATTAATGACTGCCTAGTGACCTTGAAATATTGGGTTGGCAGTGCCAAGCCCCAGTATATGTTTGGAACATAGAAATAATTATCAAATCACTTTCGCAAAAACATTTTTTTAAGCATTTAGGGTTTTTTCTTTTGCTAAAACGAATATTTTTATTTTGCAAGCCTTTATATATTAGAGATATCTCTATCTGCTCGTAAATTATACTTAACTTTCCGGCTAAGTCTTAACTTTCTCTTAGTCGCTGTTGTTCAACTACGAGAAATTCTCATTATTAAAGATTTTTCCTGTGAAATGTTTGTTTTTTACTACGGGTAACCTTTTATCTTCATTCTTTTGAATGCTAACGACGATGATTTCATCAGTAAGCTTATCAGTTTTAAATAGCCCTCGTGAATGCAGAGAATCCCATTACTACTTGTCATATTATCTAACTGTAAAATGATTACGAAACTGTATTTGATGACGTCGCTGTTCTTAGCTCTATATCAAACCACAATCAGTGTGTGCGCCGTTCATTATCTATGCATAATGAATACACATGTATATTATGTCCGCGAACCACCTGACCATAAAAGCCGTAATGTCGTATGATAAGCCATGAGAAAAGAAAATATTCCTTATATAGAAAATATTTTCACTTCATATACCGCTAATTGATAAAAAGATTTAAGTTTGTTTAATTTTTGCAACAAAAATGTGAACACGTTTGGTTTATCAAATAAGTGTTTAGCTAGAAATGTTGTATTTAGGTTTGCATTCTGAATATACCAATGGTATATATCGCATATTTTTAAGGCATTCAGCTGATAACAATACATGCAACACATTTTTGTATCTAGAATAACATTCTCAAAACATTTCTTCAGGAAAATGCCTTCCAAGTAAATTACCTATTAGCACTAGTATAGATTGATCGGAGACAAATTTCATAATCAATAATGACAAGAGAATGTAAATACATGTTTGTTAGTATCTATATAATTTGCTGGTGTTTTTAGATATTAATAGGTTAATCATAATTGACCACTTTTGTAATATCAAGAAAAAATTATCTCATTCAAAATTTAAACGATAGAAAACTATTGACTTGGGTCAATGGAAGAATACAGCTTGGTCTAAATACTCTGTACTACAGTGAAGATATATATTAAGTTTCGTGTATATTCATATGCAGGCGAGATGCACACACAGTAAAATACGGCAACCTCGATGTACGTGTTGCCCTATATAATAATAATAAAAAAATATTAAAAATAATAATCAAATAATATTGATTTTGTATTATTGATTTTTTTGAATTAAAGGCATTATTTAAAAATTTATGAGGTTTATATATGTACTACATATACTTGCAATTGTGTGATTTTGGAAATATTTAGTTGTGATAGTTATGCTCGAAGTGAAATGAGTATATTGGGTTTATGCAATGTCCGTCTTGCTGTCCATCTATCCAATACACTCTTTCACTTTCTGAATAATAATAAAATAGACAATAAGTATTTTCCAATGATGCCAACTGGGTTTCATGGCTTACTCTTATATTCTAAAGTAATTGATGTATACATATATATCTGAACTTAAATTGTCTGAACTCAAACTCAAGGTAGCGGTCTTATTTAAAAATAATCACAGGCAAAAGTTGCTTTCATAAATATTTATATACAATTTCTCCATCTGATCTGTTCTATACTTAAACCCAGCGCATTCACGTGACGTGCAATGACGCACTAATTGTAGAGTCCAAAACAATTGACGACCGCAGAGAATACAAAGCCAAAGTAATAGATCTATTAATATATTTGTGTAGTATATATCTTTAAACGAAAAATCACTTTTCAGAGGCATTGTTAAAGTTGTGTTCTCATATACAATTATTATCTAATGAACCAATTTCAAAGTCGATGAACAAGATTTTTCAATATTCGATATCCTTAATTTATTGTTTCACATATCAATTACAGCATTAGTTCCATTATATGTGTAATTGATTTTAATTGAGTTCTGTCAATTAAACTATATTTACTACTACAGTCGTATGTCATTAAAGGAATTTAAGCTTGAATTAAAAATGTTTGTTTTCATCATAATTGACCACAATTTAACAAAATAAACCTCAAGAGAATTGTTTAATTTTAATGTAATTTATTGCAGAAAATAAATAAAAATATAAATGAATAAAAATATTATATCATTAGATATTGAAGACAATATGCCAAACACAAAAATGTTAAAATATTAAAAAAAGCTGATAGGACTCGGATCTTCTATTCGGGCAACCCGACTAGACTTTTTTACTTGTTTCATTATGTGTATGCTTGGCGCTGCTTGCCATGCCCTGTTGCAAATTGGCCAAACATTTTGTTTAAAAACTTCTGTTTTACGTAATGGATTTTAATGAAATTTCAGCACATGATCTACATTTTCTATTTGAGTATTTATATATTTTATATATCATTTGAATATTTTACATATTATTTGTGTAATATTATTTAATAAATAATAAGATAATAAGAATGTTGCATGATACTCATTAAGTTGTCAGTTCAAAAATTTTGAAAAATATGGGGGCTTCCGATTTACTTTGACCTCAAACGCCCCAACGGGGCGTTAAATTGTTATGCCAAATCAATAGAGGAGATCAACAGCTACTCAATAATCTAATTTGTAATTTCTAGTTTCTACTTTAAAATATATAGTTTTGTTATTTACCACGCCTCCTGCGTGCATAGATATATAATCAATTTTTTCGATTCCCTTAACCCATTGAAAATGGGGAATCAGTATATAATGGTTTGTTTAAATGTATGTAACAGACAGAAGAAGGCGTGATAGGCCCGATAAAATATATATACTTTTCCGCAGGACGACGAGCTTAGTCGCCCGTTCGTCTGTTCGTATGTATGAACACGTCTATCTAAGAACCTTGAATTGCTAGAGCTTGAAATTATTTATACGTTGACTATTTCCGTTTTATTGTTATCGAGTAAAAGGTTATTTAAGTACTCTCGTATGTCTTAAGAACTAAAGGCTATTCTATTAGTTTGAGGTATATTTATACAATTATGATTTTTGTTAAATTTTGAATTCCGGCTCCAATTTCAACAAATAATTTAAATTTAACTTAATTTGTAAATTAAGCCAACATGTCAAATAGTTTTGATTTCAACAAATCTAACATATTCAATACAAATCCGTTAAGTAACACAGAAGTTGTTAAGCAAAAGGTTTGGCCAATTGGCAAAATCACGTGGCAAGTAGCGTCAAGAGTACGCATTTTTCCTATACGTGTGCACACATGCATTCAAATTCGTGCATTCTGTACATTCGCACATTCTGTATATCGCAATTTCGATTGAATTGTTTTAATTGTCAGCTGCTACCTTAGTTTAGATTTGTTACTTATCGTAGGATCCTCCAAGTTGCGTTGTTAGTAAATTCGGTGCCGATGGATAATATACGGGATATATACATATTCCACATTTTAAGTCTGAAACACCAATAGTGTTCAAAGAAACCATAACAGAATTTGTAAAAAAAAACAATATAGCTAGATCCGTTTTCAGCCCCAAGTGGGTCTGATCTGTAGAGTTCCTTTACAGTAACTTAAATCCAAAATTTTAAATTTTTAGCATTAAAACTGTGGGAGATAAGATTTTACCCGATTTGAAAATCTTAATCTTAACATTATCTGACGAGGGTACCCACGAATATATATTATAAATCTCAAGTCTCGAGACTGAATTGCAGCGAAATGATTTGTGTTTATACACAGAGACGGACATATTACAAAAGAAATACATCTTCACTTCTAGAATGAGTATAAAAGCGATTATATAACGAATGAAAATCGTGCTTGCCTATATAAATATATTTGCTTGCAAATTTGGAAAACATATTTAAGATTTACCCAAAATTATATTTTCTGCATCAATAAAAATGACACATATTACTAATTGTCAAGCTTTATGCGACTATATTAACAGTTTTTCTGTCAAAATCCTCTTGCACTTTCACTGTTACTGGGTCTGCCATATTCCCTGGTGTACAGTTGGCAATCGATTTTAGTAGCTTTGACACATGTTGATAGTTAGTGCTTGCAGACAACACTTGAAGTACAGATTGCAATCGCAATGTACAATTTATACGTTTATACGCACTTTTCTTTCTTTGTGACTGGGTCACAGGCTTAGGTCTAGTATATAATTTGTTATTTTGTTTTGTTAGTAGATATTTGGGTACATGCAGTAAGTAAATTGTCGACCATTTGTGCATGGTATTTTGTAAATGCAGTTTGTCCACATTTCTAGCACAACCTGTATGTTGTTTTCTATTTCTGATGCCGCTTTATCGTTTTTACTGGTATTTTCCAGTATCGTGTTTTCTGCTGCTGGCCAACACGACACGTTGGGCGATTGGCGGAACTCTCAACAACATTTCTCCTTCTGCTTCTGTTTTAGCTTTTTTCTCTTTGACTGCTTTCTTTCATATGCATGCTCTCACGTTGTCTCTCCTCGTTAAATCTATAAGTGAACTCCCCTCCATTTCATCCTTTGAGTTTGCCTGTTGCTGATGTCTCGTGTATTTTTGTTATGTGTTTCGATACTTGTAAGTGATGGAAGCGTGTGTCATGCTATATTAGCCAGCTGTTAGACTGCAATTCAAAGTTACTTAAAACGAATTTGTTTTAATAACCGCCTTTAATGAATTGTAACTAATTTAAATTTCTTTGGGTTATATAAATTTCCACAACTAAACAATTTTTTAGTGGAAAATTATTTTTTTAAAATTTGACTATGAAATTAAATAATTATTAATAATTTAAATAATTCGAAATACCACGGCAATCATAACTAGATTCATAAAAAAAACAATTAATAAACAAGCAAGGGAAAATTAAGTAATAGTATTTATTCGAAAACTGCCTAATAGGTTGT